CAGAGGTGCCAGGTTATTTTACCCAAGGGCAGTTTGCTGGCAGCATCTGGTCCCTTTGTTTTCTTCTTCTTTTTCCCCACTCTAGTTGGTACAGGAGGTTCATACTTCTTTTTCTTGTCCTTGAGTTTTTAGAAGAGCAGGAGAAAAAGTCACATGGAAGTCATAAAAAGCAAATTTATTTTTGCGTTGATATCATCTACTTTTTTGGGAGGGGGTCTTTTTAAGACAAGGTCTCTGTAGTCCCAGCTGGCCTGGAACTCGCTATGTAGACCAGGTTGGCCTTGAACTCACAGAGATGGGACTAAAGTGCTGGGACTAAAGGCATGCACCACCACACCTGGCTGATAGCATGTACTTTTAGAGGGCATAACCAGCCTTATCTTTTAGGGCGATATTTAAAACAACTATCTTAATAAAATTAGATTTCACATTCCTGCAATTGATAAGTAAAATGTAACTATAGTAAGTAAATGTAGTTTCTTTATAAAAATGGCAGTGACTCAGATTATTTCAGTAAGTAGAGAGGGGTTAGAACTGAGTTATATGCCCAAAGTTTGAGTAATGTGAGACAATTTATACCTCAATAAACTAAACACTAAAATTACAAGAAATTTACTTTGAACTTTCATACTGTTAATGCTTTTATACATTGAAAACTCATTAACTCATAAATACTGAGTGATAGGGTAATAACCTTTCAAAAACAGGAGAAAGGTGTCCTATTTATAAGCCATAGGTTAGTTTAAAAAAGAAAAAATAAAAACCAATGAATCATTTTGCTTTTTAAATTTGTGGATCGAAAAAGAACTGGCTGAGACCTAGGCCATGTTCCACACCCCTTGTGTCATGCAGGCATCTGCTGTTTTATTTACCTTGTCATCCTTCTTGCCACCTCCAGGACCATGACCACCACTTTGACTCTGACCCTTAAAAAAAAAATACACAGATGTATATTCAGCATATAATCATTTCAAAAGAAGAGCCTTCTTGTATTGTGATTCTAAAATATGAGCATACTCCTGCTTTTTAACACTTAGCAACCTAAGTACCTTGCAGCTAAAGTGTGCGTTTAATGTGGTGGAGATTATTTGCAACTGACTGCTTCTTGGGGCCAAGAACAACTCTAGGAAGAAGTAGCTACAATTATAGAGACCGACAGTCAAAGACTACCTCTTAACCAGAGGGTACAGTACTTGACATTCTTTAATATAAAACTACTAGGCTGAAGCTACCAAGAGTCTACTTCAAGAATCTATGAAAGCTGTTATACATATTCAACAATCATTTACACCCTACATACACAACACCAGGACCCAGAAGACTTTCAACAGTACCTTACCTACCTATCATGCCAAAGTCTGGGGACTCCTGGACAGATCTTTCTTTTCCATCTGAACAACTCTCACCTTAAGGTGTTACTTCACGTATTATAAAGCTCACTGGGATTTCTGATTTTAAAACCGGTTCTTCACTTATAGGCCAATGCTTAACACAGAGCAATGACTCAAATGGTTGCATTTTAAAAATATTTTTAAAAAACCACATTATTGTGTTTGTACATGCACACACTAGGCTGCCTGTGGAGGTCAGAAGGCAACTTGAAAGAGTTAGTTCCCAGGGACCAAACTCTGGTTATCAGCCTTGGTGGCAAGTGTCTTTACCTGCTGAGCCATTTTGTCAGCTCAATGGTGGGATGTTAAACATGAGTAACAGTGAACTTACTGAGCAGAGGGTCACTCAGCCCCCTCAATAACCCCATGGAGGTACCGCTAATAAAACACTGGCAGTTTCATTATCAAGACAATAGAATCACATAAGGGTCACTAAAGAAAATTAATGTTAAACATATTTTGCTGAGCGCAAGATTCTTAAAACTTTGTGTTTAATTTTAAAAGTCCTGAAGGGCACAGAGAGATTCTGGGTAACACAGTTATGCTGCAACAGGCTGTCCAAGTTAAAGCCTTTAATAATTCCTTACATTTCCTAGGTTATCTTGCTAATGGCTGGGCAGCTAATGTTTATGGGATTGCTTATTTTGAACCCACGTCTGGGCTAGCTACTTTTCCTTCACTACTACTAATTCCACACAACCCTCCAAGACAGGTTTCAGTACTCCCAGTATAGATGGAGGAATTGTTGACAAGCCTGAGAACGTGGAATTTGAATTCTGGCTCCACCACTATAGACTATGTAGCGGTCAGTCAGTTACCCCTTTGAGCTTCCAACCTCCGCGGGCATTGTTGGCACGGGTGCACTTACACACATGCAGGCAATACACTCATCCATATAAGATGAAAATTAACAAATGATATTTTTTTTTTAAAAAAGCAGCCACCCTCCCATCGCCTTCCTGCAAAACGGCCACACGACGAAGGCTGGCCCGGCACCTGCTCCCTGACATCAAGTCTCCCCTCTCTAGGATGGAAGCACCATTCAGACAGGACGTCAACAACCTCTGTTCACCCCGGGGAGAAGAAAGCGCGCAGGCGGGAGCTGGGGGCTGAGGACTGATGGACAGAGGCTGATCCCATAGCTCCGGTCACTCCCCTCCGAGCAGCGCCTGCCACCGCGCGGTCAAGGCTCCCGCACCCACTCCGGCGCTGCCCGCTCTTCTAGTCCTCCAACACTGGCTCGGAGGAACCCCGTCAAGCGACCCGGGTCGCCGGTGCGCACTGCCCGAGTCCGCCGCCCAGTGCAGCTGGCGGGGCGGCCCGCTGTGGGCTTCGAGGCCTGCGCTGCTCCGGGGCGCCGCGTCCC